CCAATCTATGAGATGGGGGAGCGAAGACCGGGGAGCGAATGTGCCTTTAGTACCAGGCACAGCAGTGCTCACAAGCCTTCGAGGAACAGCGGTCGCCCTCGCTCCTGAGGACACCTCCTGCCCATCCCCAGTTCTGAAACACGCCTGGCAGGGGCAGGTCAGGGGCTGGGCCTGGGTGGGGGGTGGCTAAGCCACACCGACAGGAGCCTCACACCAGCCGTGGCTGCCAGCCCCCTTCCAACCGCCTCACACACGGCAGGGCATCGCACCCCACCGCGACCCGGTGAGTAAGGTGCTGGATTTTCCCCATTTGACAGAGAAGAAAATAGAGGCTCAAATAAACCCACTCCGTACCCAGTACACTCCTACCTGGTTACCCCCTCACATGCCACATTCTCTCTCACACAAACACACCCATTCCCTCCCCCAGGCATGTGCACCCCACATTCCTTCCCACCCTCCTGCTCTGCACGGAAGAGGGATAGAGCCAGGGATGGGGTGAGCAAGGCTGCGGCCACCCCAGGGGTTGGGGAAACCTGTGTGGGGAGAGGAGGCGCCGTGGCCGGGGCGGAATGCCGGAGAGGATGCCAACCTGAGCTGGGATTTTCCCAGAGCCCTGCACCTCCTCTGCCCTGCAGCCTTGGGACAAGAAAGCAGGTCAGCGTCTCGTCTCACGCAGACTCTGCTTCTCTGGCCCCAGCACTTGGGATGGGCCTCGGGGACCGTTCTTAGGAACCCAGCTCCCACTGGGGAAAACAGTCTTGGTTTTCAGGACTCCTGCGCAAGGGCCCACACGGAACCCCTCCCCGGAAGTGAAAAGGCCGTTTTCCAGAGCTGGAAGCTCCCTACTGGGCCTGGTGCGTGCCTCCTCCCAGCCAGCGGCTGTCCACCCCAACAGGCCTGACCCCACAGTTGTGCACACCTCAGCGTCTTGCCTCAAAACTTAGAGGACACAGAAACGGGCCAGTCTTCTCACTGCTTTGTAAACACACACGATGCCCTCACATGCCTTGAACACAGGAACGGGGCTGTCCCCTCATGGCCTTGCACTCGTAGGCAGGCCTGTCCCTTCACAGTCTTCACACACAGGCCTGTCTCCACAGGAACTGGCCTCCAAGGTGCATCTCTCGCTCAGAAACCAGGCCTCATTAACTCAGTAAAACTGTTTACGCTCACACACCCCTAGGAATTGGCCTCAGCCAAACCACCCAAGCCAAACAGGGCTGCCCTCTCCAGGGAGCCCTCAGGGTGCTGCGCTCTGGAGGGTCCTGGGAGGGCTGGCGCTGCTGTCCCACCAGCCAGAGTAACCCCGTCCCACCCTCCCTCCTGGGACTGGAGATGCTGGCTGTCCTCCAAGAGGAGGCGCTCCCTGAGCAGTGTTGGCCAAAGGCAGGAGGCCGAGAGGAAGAGGGGAGCCTGCGGAGGGGCAGAGGGAGCAGGGAAGGGGAACCTGGGAGCTGGGACCCTTCTGGGTACCCTTGGGAGCATGGGCCGGGGACTCAGATGTCCTCACACGTAAGTGTCAGTAATGATGGACTATTCGGGGAGACAACACGATGCTCAAAACAGGGTCTGGGCCAAGGAAACACCCCAGGCATAGTGTGACGGCACAAGAAGGCAGAGGTCGGGCGCTGAGGTCACTGAGCACCAGCACTGCCCGGGCAGACCGGAGCCGGCGAGAAGATCACATCCGTATCCTACAACACCATCTGGGGCGGACTGAGCATTTCACAGCCTTTTTCTAATTATCCTTGCCCAGTTCCCCTCCCAGGAGCCCTCTTGGGCATTTTCCTTCTACTTCCCTCCTCCCTTTGAAATTAAATACTAAAAAATATGGATTTTGTTGAATGGGGATGAACTTCAGAGGGCCAAGTACTACTGTAGTAACTCAAGGTTTTTTAAGCCCCAAAGAACCCATGTGGCTCCCCTTGGGAGCAATTCTTTGTTGAGAAGGCCCTAGAGACACCCGCACAACTCAGCAAAAACTAAACCAATGGAAACACAGTATTTAATAGGCAGCATTCCTTACAAATAAAAGAATGGGTTCTCCACGTGCGCCGCAGCAACGACACACACACGTTGGTATAGCGGAAAACGACAAAAACAATATGCAGAAAATTTTGAAAATCCAGCTGAGGTTGCAGGGTTTCTGAAGTCCTCATTTTTGATTTTCTAAAAAGATACTGAAAAGAGGAAAGGGAAGAAGCCAAGAAGGTTGATTATAAATATGGCGGAAAGAGAGGCTCTAACAGGCAGGAGAGGCGGAAGGTCACATCCTGAGTGGGCTGAAGGGTCCCAAGGTCACGATCAGGCACAGCCGGAGAGGCAGGGCAGACCCGCAGATCTGTACTGAGATCTGCTTTGTGCCTGTGGTAAGTCGTTAGAACTCTCTGAGCCTTGGCTCCCTCATCTGCTGAATGACAAGGAACAGAAATGTGCACAGCCATGCCTGGTACACTGTATCTGCATCAGAGTTCATGAACACTTCCAGAACCTACCCAGACCCTAACAGAACCAGAATTCGAACCCAGGTCTTCAGCTCATTTTGCTAGCCCAAAGGGCCTCCAAAGCACCTTAAACTTCACCATTTTAAAAAGGAGAGCATGCTTCCTCCAATCCCACTGAAACTGAAACCAAGTTGTTGACACTAAGATACCACTGCCACCTGGTGGCAGCATACCTAAATTATTGGGGGAGGGGCAACTGTCAAAGGGGGAAAACTGCCAGTGTCTTAACCCGCCCAACACACCAGTAAAAGCTTATACAGTGAGAACAAAGGTCACCGTCTACCACATGGCAAAAGGGCCACACACTGCCAGGCATCTGCCAGTTCCTTGAAACTCTGACTTGGGGTTTCCTGGATGCTTTTGGGGTTTTTTTCTTTTTGTTTCGGGGGGGCTTTTTTTTTTTTTAAATAAATTTAACAACCATAAAGATACCAAACGTCACAAAATTGAGTGCAGACATCCAGGCCTTCCTGAACACTGCTGGAAGCCCAGGCACCCCCGATTCTGTAGCTGTTCAGTCAAACTGTCTGAATCCCACACGCAATACTTGACGTTTAAATTTGTACGTTTCAAGGTTGTCACTTTCAAGTCATCGCTCTGGCTCGGTCTCGGACATTTGGCTCTCCACGCCCACCGTCTGAGCCCTCCCTCCCAGCCACACACTATTCACAAATTCCACAGGTACCGCCTTTCAGGTGTTCCCACAGGCCGCAGACAGCAGCTGCAGAACAGGCCCAGCTGGGCTGAGCTCGGCGGAACATGGAAGACAGCCGGCCTGCCCCTCCACAGGGGTCTTGGCCACCTCTGCAGGGAGGCATTTCCCTACTGTCAAGGGGGCAGCAGTTTCCTGCCCCTTCCTGATCTAAGACACAGCAAGGCAGCCGCCCACTGACCTTTCCATTCACTTGGAAAATGCATTCGGAGAAGGGGGAGGAGGCCTTCGTGGCGTGGCGGTGAAATGGGCCCTTCCTTCAGAAGCCCCCCACCACTCCATCCCTCTCATCCTCCCTGCTCCTCTGGCATTTAACCCCCAGACGGGCCCCCGGCAGGTCCTGACATCAGCCGAGCCTGTCTTGGGACACACAGGCCAGCACACAGCCAGGCCTCAGGGACCACGGATAATCCCGCTGGGGAAACAGCTCTCCGTAGCTCCTGCTGACTCCGTGAGCAGGAATGTGCCACCTTGCTTTCCTCGCTGCCCCCCGATGCCTTCTGCCTGCACATTCAGAAACCTGCAGGCCTGAGAGGGACCTGGGTGTGAACCCGGCCTCCAGCCCTGACGAGCTATGAGAGCTGGGCTCCAGCCTCGCCTCACCGTCCCCGAGCATAAAATGGGAGCAGTGACAGTCATCAGCCTTGTGAGGGCTGCGGCAAGGGTGAAATGGCCACGATGCACCCAGCTTCATGGTCCTGGCACACAGTAGGTGCTCAATAAATTCTAATCCTTTCCTTCCGCAGCCCCAACTCGGAGAGTCACTCTGAGGTTGAGCTTCTGAGGTTGCCACATGGGTGCCAAGCGAGAGGACCCGCAGCTGTCGGGGGAGACCGGAGGCGCGGCCCTGTTTGGGGCCAGGAGTGTCATTTTCCAGGGTTGTATTTCCGTCCTTGGGCAGGCTGTGACGAGAGTCCCTCAGAGGCACGAGAGGAATTCCGAGTGTTCCCTTGGTCAGTCCGACACCGCCTGAGGCCTGACGCCCTGCACGGGGCCCGCTGCTCACCCTCCGTGGCTCTCCAGCTTACGGTAATGACCACAGCTCAGGACACGCACCGGTCATTCCGGCCATACCCTGCTGGCTCAGCGAGGCCACAGGACTGTCACGGCTTGTTCTAAACTAAAAGATCCGAAGGCGGGAGGGACAGGGAGGCAGGGTGGAGGGAGAAGCTGCTGCACATTCCACACCCGGGGCACGGCGTGGATTCCCCGGGGGGCTGGGAGGCTCCTTCTCGGCAGATCTGGCCCCTGGGTCTTGAAAGGGACCAGCAGAGGCCTCATCTCCTTCTGTGCTAACAGGCTCTGGGCCCTCCTATGCAGAGGGTGAACAGGAAAATCGGGCCAAAGAAGCAGTAACTGAAAGAAGTGAAGATGTGGGAGAACGGCTGGGCCCTTGAACCTCTGGCAGGTTTATGTTCGGAGCAACCGTCCGAAGTCACTTTCAACCCAGCCTCTCGACACCCCGAGCCCTGTCTGACCCGGCCCCTCAGGAGAGCCCCTGCTCCACAAGCAAGTGCTTCTGTGATCCTTCTGGAAGCAGGCACAATCCCAGACAGCTCACAGCAATGTCCGCGGCCAAGGGCGCAGGAACGCCAGCGCAGGGCGAAAGGCATCGCACATCAGAGGGACGAGGGGGAGAGGCTCTTCCACAATGGGGTAAGACTCCTGGGCCGAGCCATCTGGAAGGCAGGAGATGTCCGCCCTCACACCTCTAGGTAACAGACTGGCTGTGGGCCCGCAGGAGGCAGCCGCCCTCTGTGAGCCACCATGTCAGGACTTACCTTCCACTGCAGGGAATGGAACCACTGGTCTCGAAGGTAGCTGTTGGCAGCCTGCAACGACAAGAAGACAGCGAGGCCGTCACCAGCTTGCCGCATGTCGGGGCCCAAGCACGCGCGGCCCAGCCTCCTCTACCCAGAAGGGTCTGCCTTGAACCTCTCAGGTACAGAACTGAAACAGAGCGCTACCAGGGGGATTTTCCTGAAACAAGACCTCACTGTCCCTGTGTGCTTATTTTGCTGGGTAGGAGTGACTCTGGACACTGGCGGCTGGAAGCAGTCACTGCACGCGTTCCTTGATGGGAGGGGCCGGGATGAATGGAAAGAGGCCTGGTGGTCAGATGTGGGGGCCAGAGCAGTTCTGGGGCCTCCTTTCTACCAGGCGCTGCTCCAGGTGCCTGGCCTTTATTAGCCTCACATTCTGCCATTAGTCCTCCCAACAGCCCTGTGAGGTGACTAGCACTACGCCCACTTCTCAGAGGGACAAACCGAGACTCCAAGATCTCACATCAACTAAGTGCATTCAAACCCAGGCAGGCTGGCTTCAAAGCTTGTGGTTTTAACTGCAGAAGGTCAGGGAAGAAAGAGCCCAGCCTTGAACTCAGGTAGACCGTAGTTAAAAATCACCACGCAGAGGGCAAAACCATCCCAAATTCCATGCCACCCTTGTGCACAGACCTTGGCAACTCGGCCTGAATTTTCTCATCTGTAAAATGGGGCCACGAACCCTGACCTTGCAGGAATGTCATGAGGACTGGGAATGATTCCTGGGGAGCACCAAGAATCGGGCCAGCCCCAAAGCAGGGGGTGACACGACTGCAGTCGTGACCGTCATCACCACCGTCATCACTAGCTCCTCTCAAATAAAACGGGGCCCAAGGAAGGTCTGGCCAACACTAATGCACGCCCATGCATCAGCACTGGGGCCCATGCGTGGATTGGCTTACTGGGTCCTCTGCCTTGGGAAGTTGGGAGTGTCCACGTCATCATCCCAGGTACAAGTGAGGAAACTGAGGCTTGGGGAGGTTAGGAGGTTTCCCACAGGCTCACAGGCAGGAGGTGCAGGGCCACGATGTGAACCCAGGCCGTCCGACTCATGCTGTAAACCACAGCTGTGGCATTCCAAGTTTCCCACTGACCATCCCAAGGGCAGAAATGCAGTGTTTGTTCTCGTCTGACCCCACAGGGGGTCTGCTCCAAGGTGACCCTGACCCTGATGGTCCAGTGACTCTCACTAAGGCCAGAGCCTCTCTCCAAGCACAAGAATCCAACATCCGTTCCCCACCCACATGGACACACACACACGTAGGCACAAGCAGGTACAAATTCAGGGTCCCCCTCCGTCCAGGGGATCCAGGTTTCAAACCTGAACTGCTGATAAAGCTTAGCTGCTCTCCCAGGCAGAGTCTGGGGGACTCTCTGGGCTTGAACGGATGACCCAGCTCAGTGGCCAGTGCAGCGGGGCCTCAGGTCCTGGGGGGCCAGCTCGGAGACCCACCCGTATCTCAGACAGACTGAGACCAGCCCACGGACACAAGGCAAACTCGCACCTGTGCCTTGAGGAGGGAGTGGACCCGGGGACACCTTCTGTGTGAGTCTCTGACAGACCCGGGTTCGAGTCCGCTAGAGACCCAGAGCCTGCGCCACCTGACTGGGGAGGCGGAGGCCGCAGGGGAGTCAGCCGTGGGTCCTGCAACGCCCCGGACAGTCTGGGGCTGAGTCGCCTCCCTTCAGTGCTGACCGAGCTCTGCGATCTCATGACCATTCTGGTTCACGAGGATGATAAAATACACCCCATGCTTGGGGAGCACGACGCAAGGATCCCAAACAATGAGGTCATCCCCGCGTGTGGCACGTGCAGGCTTTTACAAACAGCGACGATCGGGAGCCGTGCGGCCACGGCCAGGGGTGCTGATAAATTTGTTCCAGAACAAAAAGCCCTGACTGCAGCCTGGGCCACCTTCTGGGCTCTCAGTGATCCCACCTTGGCCAATTCTGTGCCACGGGGTGGCGGGGGCAAGGTGCGGGGGAGATGTCCCCGGACCACAGCTGGGAAGGGCCAGCCCCAGCTCACCTCCAGTCTGAGCTCTTTCACTTGGCCGGACAGAGGGGCCAGCGTGGGAGGGCAGCCAGAGGACCCCCAAAGGCTGTCCCCTGACCCCCAAAGACTGGTGAACAGGTGACTGGACGTGACAAAGGGGCTTCGCAGATGGGAGTCAGTGAAGGCCCTTGAGATGGGGCGGCTATTCTGGAATATCTGGGTGCGCCACAGTCATCAGAAGGGTCCTGACAAGGGGGAGGCAGGAGGTCAGACAGTTTGAGGCGGAGCACGGGCTGGAGGGATACGGCCACAAGCCCAGGGCCACCGGCACACTCTGAAGCTGGAGAAGGCAAGGAGACCCGTGCACCCAAGAGTTTCCAGAAGGAGACAGCCCTGCTGACACCCTGATTCTAGCACTTCGGTACCTATGCTGGACCTTCGGCGTCTAGAACCACAAATAAATAACACATTTCTGTTGTTTCCAAGTCTGTGGTTAACGAGTCACAGCAGCCATGGGGAACGAGCATGGGAGGTAGGGCCACACTGAGCACAGTGGACCCGGGCAGTGTCCCTAGGGTGTCACTGGCTAGAACGAATGGCCAAGTGAGGACACAAAGGATGACAGAGAGGACAGGAGGAAGGAGAGGGGGAGGAGTGCCTCTCTCCCTCTTTTGTGCCCAATGGCCTCAGCACGCTGCCCCGCAAACAGGTGCCCCTGTGTGACTGTCACCATGCCTCTGTGTGTCCCCAGGGTCTGGGGCACCAGTTGACCGAGCGAGACCAGCTGAACGAATGAATGAACAAGTGAATGAGTGGACGGTGAGCTCTCTGAGGGCAGAATGTTTTCTCAGATGGCCAGTGCTGACCAGCAGTGCCTGGCACGCTCAGGGCTGGTCACAGGAGAACGAACGAACTCACCAACCGTGGGGCAGTGGCCATGAGGCACAGACGGTGACTCAGCGACCAGACCCAACACAGACCTGCCTCCCTTGTACCTGGTACAACCCCTTCCCGTTCTGGGGACCTCCCTGACGTGTGAGACCCTGTTAGGGATCTTTAAGGAAGTCCCCGGCCCCCCTCAGGGCTGAGTGTGAGCAGGTGATCCAGGCTGCAAAGTCAGGAGCTCCTGCCCGAGACTCTGGGTCTTGAGCAAAGTGGCTCGGGAAGAAGGAGGTACGAATTCCTCATGAGGCAGGAAGGAGTATCTTCCTGTAAAGGGGAATACCAGGCCGAGACAGGGTCCCACCACTGGCCCTGGCTCCAGTTCATTTTCCAAGCCTGTTCTCCAGGCTCCCATCAATCCTTCCAGCATATTCCTTTTCTACTGGAGATTGCCCGAGTCCATTTTGGCTGCTTGCATCTGGGAGTCCGGATGGATCTCCAGGGCACCACTGGACCCTTCTTCCTGCTCAAAAACAGATGTTCCAAAGCATTTTCTCTGCCCTGTTGCTGCTGAAGGAGCCAGCCAGCTCCCAGAGCCGGAGCTTGCTCTGATGACATCTTGAGCCTCCTGGCATCCCCTACAGGCCGTCTGGCTCTGCCCAGACCTCAGTGGGCCCGGCCTGCTGCTGAGCGGGAAGGGCCACCCAGATTTCCTGCTCTGGTGCCTGGGACCTTGTCCCCGGGTCAGTTGGGTCCACTACGTCCGGCCTTTCACAGCAGACTCACGGCCTAGAGGGGGAGGAGGGCATCTGCAGGGACATAACCCCATCTCACCCGCCCTGGTCACCTCGGCTCCCAGCCTAACCTTCCGGGAAGAACACCCTGCACGTTCCAGGTCTCTCCTCATGTGGGAGAACCTCTGAGCCCCGTTGCTTCCGTGACCCGGCTGCCTGGCCATATCCATCCTCCCGTGAGCATTTCAACCGGAGGAGGTCAGTGTCACGTTCTGGGAAGAAGGCAGGTTTGGGTTCAGTGGAGCAGCTGGTAGGCCCCGGCTGGAAAGAGCTGTGTGACTCTGGACTCCCATCCCCATCTCTAGCACAGGCCCGGGAAGCCACCTCGCTGAGACCGGGGCACCCACAGGGCAGTAACACGGGCTGAGGGGACCTACCAGGCATCGGGCACAATGCTGCGCACCCATCACTCTGAGGTGAGGAACTGGGGCTCACAGCAGGGGGGAGGGCCCTGCCACCCAGCCCAGAAGCTGACCCAGCTTTGCCCCTGGCCACACCGTCACCCTCACTGCCTGGTTTCTCGTCTGGCACACACACCCCTTCTTCGCTGAGCTCGAAACCACTAGCCTCCTGCAGCACCTCGACTGGGACCACCCTGCGCTCCTTCCGGCCACTCTCAGAGCCCCATCCAGCCCCCGCGCTTTATCTGTCCCACCCACAGGACAGGGAAAGGGGGCAGAGTCCCCTTGGATGAACCGCCATCTCCCAAGTGACGCTGGGGTCACAAGTCCACCCAACGCACTCATCTAAGGCAAAGAGCGGAGGTGCCGTCCATTACAGCCAATGAGGCTCCTTGAATCAAAGGTTCAAAGGGATCACCTGGCCCAGGAGCTCTCAATTTTGGGGGGTTTTGTGGGAACCTGAAACCCTTTGAGAGCCTGAAACAAGCTGAAGATTCACACCCGAGTAGAGAGCACATTTGTACACACACACACACACACACGTAGGCAGTCTCAGAATGCACCAGGGACCAAGGGAAAGGACCCAACTCTAGCCCAACCTGTTCCTTCCTGCCACGCTTCCAGTGAGCAAACCCAGGCCCAGACTTGAGGTGGTGTCATCGGGATCCTCCCCAACGTTTCCAGCTCTCCTCCCAGCACGCGGTGGCGCCGGTAGCCGCTGGCTGGGTCAGGCCCACATGACCCGCTTCCCTTCCAGGGGAAGCCTTTGGGGGCTGGGGCGCTATCGAGCAGGGGGCCCAGCCGTGGTGACCAGCAACGTTTCAGACGGTGCCGGCTCCATCAGTCCTGCTCCCAGCTGACCACCGAGGATGGGCAGCCCGAGTGAGAAAGAATCCGTTGATGTTCCGAGACCCTGCGAGGTGGGGGCTGCACGTC